TTAAACCTTTAATATTATATATGCTAAGGACCCGGTCTTATAAATCGTCCGGACAGAAAAGGAAACAATATTTTGGACCGGAACCGGACCGGTAGGACCGAATAATGCAAGACCGGTCCTAGGATTAGCTTATGGACCGGTCCGGTCCTAAGATAGATGAAAGACCGGTCTTTTTGGACCGGACCGGACCGGACCGGACCAACCCTATAAAGAACCACCAAAACCACCAACGAAACCACCAAAGAATCACCAACGAAAGTACCAAAGAACACCAAAGAACCATCAAACAATGATCAACGAAAGGACCAAAGAACTACCAAAGAATGAAAAAAAGATATATTAAACAAACTAAAAAAAATAAACTAAATAAATTAACAAAAATTAGATTAAAAAGAGATTAAAAATTAAAAAAAATCTAAAAAAATATGATAAAAATACTGTGGGAATAAAAAAGGGGGGGGGGAAGAAAATAAAATAATAAAATAATTAAAAAAAAATTTTTGAAATTAAAAAAAAAAACATAAAAAATAATTATTAAATAAAAAATAACCTGGGGGGAGGAATAAAAAAAAGAAAAGAAATAAAAAAGCAAAGATACTTACGATATGCCGTGACGAAATTTGAACGCGAATATCTCGACATCCACCAGTCCGCTTCATACCAAATTTAACTAGCAGCTTCGGAAAGTTCTGTGCTTCCAAACAAGCTCAAATACATCCCGATACAATCACTCAATCCGGAGATATTTGAGAATAACTGAAAGCAATTATATTGAGGTTCATCACGGAAGAAATTCAAGCAAGTGTGAATACCGAAACTGAAGCAAAAGGAGCTATCTGAATAGTAATGATACTTAATATTAATTTCAGCATCTGGGAATCTAAAGGAGGTGAGAAAATTGTATGTTAATATGTAAGAAACTAGGGTTAACAATGTGTGTTCAAAATAAATTATTTAAACTACAAATTCTTGAAATTTTGAAATGAAGCAATCATATGATCTAAAGATCATAGAAATACCAATTTAAGACAACCAGATACAACCCTAAGTGACCTTCAAAACAATCCAATATTTATCAAATTGGATCATTGGAAGCTGAAATAGCTTTGTAAGTTGGTAAGATCTTGAGCAGATTTAAAGTTAATTTTGGAGAAAGTACTTATAAGCAAGTTTTGAATTAATTTTCTGGTGATGCCAAGGATGCTTACCTATAGGAGATGAAAATATTGTCCATTGTTATGTAAAAATATGAAGTTATCTATAGAGTAGTAAAATGCTTATAATTTTAATTATAACCAAATCATAACCAGATTATAACACAAACTATATACTAACATAATATGAATATAATCTGAATTTAACCCAATTCACCTTAACCCAATCTTAACTTAATAAATACCAATTTAACTACAACCCAATCCAATCATAATCTGATTTTAACCCAAATCAACTCTAATTTTCATCCAACTCAACCAAACGAAGCCTAACTTATCTTAGAATTTGTTTAAACTTCACCCTTTTTTCATCGCGAAGTGACCCCGGGGCATCGCCCGTGTAAATTGCTAGTAATTAAATAAAAAGGAGATCGCAGCAATATATAGATCAATAATTGGTTTATAATATTTTTATGAATCTTCAATCATTCAGTAATTAATGTTTTAAATATTATCGTGAAGGAATTTTAAATGGTGAAAGTGTAAGGAAAAAAGATTATATTGATAATTCAGTTTAGTAAATGAATTGTTACCGCTTATTCTTACGATAGTCTAATTTTTCAAGTTTGAAGGTAATAACAATTTTAAGCTAATTAAAAATAAAGAGTTTTGTAAATAAATCAATAAATTATCTCGTGATCATCAGTAAAGGATGGTCGAAAATCAGACACGTTAAATGTTCGAAATGTAGTATGAATGTTTTATTTTTACTTTTTTTTATTTTCATTTTTTTCTTTGAAAAATTCCGATATTTGGACTGTTCCGAGATCGACTTTTCCGAGATCGACAAGAATTAAATGTTTGATAATGTTGATAGTTAAAAAATAAATAAATAAAAAGAATTAGTTTAGAAATGATTTAAATCATGTGGTCTTCCCTGATTTTTCCAAAGGTAATATACAGTATATAAGGTACCTGATTTTTCGACAAGGGAAAAAAAAAAAAAGACATTGCAATCATGAAAAAAACGTTATTATACATTCTATTACATTTTTCATCGGCAGTACTTGCTGATTGGATCACCGTAGAACATGATTTTAATATGTGCGACCAGGTCGTACCTTCTGATTATGCGGCGGTTCACATTAACGATGATGGCGCTGCTTATTCGACGTCCTTTTTGATCAGAAAAGTTCAAACTGTAAAGCATGAGCCACCCTTAACAACTCTTAACATCACTATGTGGGGGTGTACCTATGATTGTCGCTTCAGCTTTATGTTGAAAATAAACAGGAATAATATTTCGGCTTCGTCGTATACCAATGATAATAATAACTACAAATGTAATTTAAGTAATTACACAACGAAACTTATTCCGACCCCTAAAATCACATATAAGCATGTAGGACCTAACCCAGATCACGTATTTCCAACTCATCTAACTTTACAGTACTGCAGTGCAGGTAAACATCCCGATGAACCCAGGTTTGAAATTAATAAAACTGAAAGTGTAGCCGAATGCATCGATTATTTGACTGGTAATGAAGTTGGAACATACGCTGCATCTCTTCAGTTCGGTTCTGGCAGCTCGTTCAAACCTGATAACTACGGTGTTGCTACATATCACATGATTAATTCGGCAAACAAGCTATTCGATCATTGGGAGAGACACCATCGAGGGTTCCATGCTGCCCTTAATGAACTAAGTATGAAAATGACTACCAATAATCTAAAACTATTGAAACCACCGCCGCCGCCACCGCCTAAAAAAAACTTACTCAAAAGAATTGTTATAGTAGTCGCTGGTATTGCTATTTGCGCTGTTCCTTTTGCTATAGCACCTTTAGTTATCGATGCAGCAGCGGGTGCAGCAGAGGTGGCAGGTGAGGTCGTGGAAACAACCGTCGCCGAAGTCTCCGAAGTTGGAGCTGAAGTTGGTGCTGCAGAAGATGTTATAGAAACAACAGCTGAAGGATCAGTAGCAAGAAATGCAGCAGTAGGTTTTAGTAGGGCAGCGGAAGCAGATGCTGCCGTTGAACGTGCAGATGAACTTGCTGAAGAATACAGTTTGTTAAAAGAAGAGGTGGTTGGAGATCGTTATTCAGGGTCTTTAGTACGGAGACTCTCAAGATTCTATAACAAATCAAAAAACCCGAATATGGCACGAATCCTTGCTGCTTTGAAGAGGACCCGCAGACCCAGAAAGAGGGATACGGATGCGGAGGATAATTTAGGATTTTTTACGACGAACATGGTGAATATATTCTTTCTTCCAAGAGTGATGGACAATGTACATCAATCATTTACTAGCAAAACCTATTCAGATATTTCATCATATCTATCAGCCGCAAGTGAAAATCTCCAATTTCATTTTAACGATACATTACACAATAATTTTTTTACTGCAAACAAGTCAATATTAGCTAGTTTTACTGTTCATCAAGGACTGAATGATGATCAATTACTTGACAATGAAGATGACGACGTATATACTTCTGTTAAACAAAGTACATATAACACTTTAGCGTCAACAATAATAAGCGCTACCTTACAAATGTTTGATGTTGAAATATGTGATCCAAAACCTTCATTTTGCGGACAACCTTGTGATTCTGGTCATATTTATTGTCCAATAATCGGAAATGATACTAATAACTGTGTAATAGCTGCCTCAGATGACCAAATAAAGGAACTTAAGTCTCTTCGAGATACCTTTGATATATGTTCAACAGATAATAGTACTGGTTGGGATATAAAACATAATGAAAATTGTGATATTAAACAATTCAAATGTCAATAATAGATCATAAATTACTCAAATGTGAGTTCAATATTTAATGTCATGTTGATTTTAGGGAAGAAGGGAAGAATTTTGTTATATTATTTTCAAGCTATAGAATAATTGTAATTTTTAATTAAAGAATTTCATTTTTAATATTTATAGTTTTCCTTTATTTTATTTATTATAATAAATAATAATGATAATCATTAGAATACCATTTCAGTTATTTTTTTTTTTTTTAAGCCCGACAATATGAGAATTCCGTAATAGCTTGCTTACATTGATTTACCTATATGGTTTAGTACAAATAGGGATATAATGTATACAATCTTTATAGGAATCATAACATAAGGAATGAAAAGGTGGTTTTTGAATAAAATGAAGAATGGATTCACGTGATATTTATATCGACCATGCCGCTTTAGCTCTCAAGACTGCTAAAAGAAAAATGTGTAAGCTTCCAAGAAATTTTGTAAAATAAGGCTAATTTCTAAATGCTTTTTTTTTTACATTAATTTGGTCGAGAGTATGCGTTTAAATTTTATTGTCGGCAAAGGTAATTAATTAATTAGAAATGCTTCATCAAATAATTTCTATTATAGGATTTCTTCGTACATTTTCAATGAATTTCATGCGCATCATTGAAAATCCAACCAAATTTAGAAAGGTATTATTACAAGTTGTATTGTCTGAAAAACTATAAATTTCCTAATTCGTAAAATTTTTTTATCTCAATCTTCATTAAAAAAATACGTAAACAAAATGACCTCAATATTCCATACCGAACTTTCTAAAGATTTTTCATCAATTTTAAAGGATTCCGATGATTTCAACGTTATTATTCAAGTTGGTGAAGATCAAAATACAAAGGAATTTCGGGCACATTCAGTTATTTTAAGAGCACGTTCTCCATATTTTAAAGGTGCTTTTTCGTCTAATTGGATCGTTAAAAAGGATGATATGATCATGTTTAATAAGCCTAACATCCCTCCAATTGTTTTTGAAATGATTTTAATGTAAATGTATATTTTTCAAATTCCACAAATTTTTATCTTTTTCGTTTCGATGGAAATTAATAAATTAAAATTTTTCTTAATTTTAAAGATTTATTTATACAGGTGAAATTAATTTGACCAATCAATTAGGTGAAGATATTCTTGGACTATTAATTGCATCTGATGAACTATTACTTGACGATTTATTCAAACATGTTCAAGATTTCTTGATTGAAAAATGTACCAGTTGGATCCAACAAAATTTTATCCTAGTTCTTCATTCCGTATTTCAACTTGCTAGGTGCAAGAAATTGCAGGATTATTGTTTTGAATCAATCTGCGCTGATACAACACCGTTTTTCACTTCAAAAGATTTTCCATCGCTTGATAAAGATATATTTTTTGGCTTACTTAAAAGGGATGATTTACATGTTGATGAAATTGTTGTTTGGGATAATTTGATCAAATGGGGTATTGAACAGACTCCCGGGTTGGTAATCAAGGGTAATGATTTAACTAAATGGAGCCAAGAAAATTTTGAAAGATTGAAAGAAACGTTAAGTCAATTCATTCCACTTATTCGGTTCGTGGGAATTTCTTGTGCTGATTTTTTTGATAAGGTCCGTCCTTATAAAGCGGTCTTTCCTCAACAAATTTACGAAGAGTTTTATGAATTTTATTATAAAGGTACCATTTCAAAATCAACCGCTTTACCATCTCGCGCAGGATTACTGAAATCAACTATAATCGATCCAAAACTTGCAACTATACTAGCTAATTGGATTGATAAAAATGATTCAGCTGTTCATTCATTTAATAATAAGTTCAAGTTCAATCTGATTTATATAAAAAGTCGAGATGGTTCGAATATTTCAAATTTTAATAAATTGTGTAACGGACAAGGACCATTTGTAATATTTTTAAAATCTCGGTCAAAAAAAATTTATGGGGGTTATAATCCAATTGGATATGCTTCAAGAATTGGTAAATGGTTGTCTTCTTCAGACAGTTTTATCTTTTCTTTTGAAAATGGTCAAGATATACATAATATGAAAATTGGCAGATCAAAAAATACAGCTTATTCTATATATGAGCATAATGATAAAAAATTCATTGATTTTGGTAGTCATTTATTTAATAACCATGGTGAACAAACTTTTTTTCTTAGTAACTATGAGAATTTTGATAATATTTTTAATCTTAATTATGGCCAAGCTGTTGATTTGCCTGTTGAAGAAATTGAAGTCTTTAGTATTTCTAAGAAATAATTTAAGTAATTCGAATACGTTACCTATATTTTTAATTTGCAGACTCATTGACCATTTCTTTTAAACTTTTTTTTTTTTGATATATGTTTTTGTTTCAATTTTAATTCTGAATAAATATTAAATAATCCTTCGATATGATGTTTATGTTTTGTTCACAATAAAACCAATTATAATTTTTTATTATTAAACATACCGCTTTTTTTTCAGTGAGCGTTTTAATGAACAAATAAAATTTTAATAAGAGAGCGTTTTAATGGACAATTAAAATTGTAATAAGAATGAATGATATAATAGCTTATTTCTTTTTATTGTGGATTTCAAAATAATCAAAATTTAACCATTCAATCTTCGATTAATTATAGTACATAATTTTTAGTTTAAAGAAAAGAATGGAAAGCTTTCTTAACCTTGTAAACTTTTTTACTTAGAAATGAAAGGCGTCGATCAGTCTTCTTTTTTCGAAGCGATCGGAATATTTTAATCTTTCCATCTTTATGATTAACTTTATTTCTTTAAGTTCCTCTTTCGGTTTGATCGCGTTGAATTGCGCCTCAGGTCACCTAGTTTCATTAAATTTCTCGTAATTATTTTTTTAATACTTATTGAATTTTAAATTTTAGCATACGGTATTACTTTTTTTAAAATATTTTTACATAATTGTCCTGGTTCTGTTAATTTGGAAATTATCGGATTTTTAGTTAGACTTCGTAGAACAAATTGGCCAAAATTTCCTCTGGTGTCCTTGTGAAAAAAAATGATGGGTTACCGCCTGCAAGAAATAATTTTAACACGAACATTCCATATGCATTTCGTTTAGAATTAAATTGTAACGAAATAACGAAACAATAAACGCTAAATCTTTGCGCATAATTATTGTTATAGTAAGTTAAAAATAAACCCGAACTATAATCACAATATGGTTACACAAAATGAAGGGAGCAAGAGAAAAACATAAATCGTTCTTTCACTTACAAGTATGGCTGAGGCAGGAAATTTTTTTTTATTTAGCTGTGTGCAATATTGGAAATAAGGTTCGATTTTATTTTATTTTGAATAAATTAGATTTTTAAATTCTTTACGATTTCTACGGTTGCGCCATTTATAGGATGGGGTACCTCCTAAGATGAAGGCGATATTTTATAATGGAGGCGACAAAATTATATTAAACGAAGAAAAAAGGTTTTATTAAGAAATATGGAAAATACGAAAGAAAATCTGCTTCATTCTGCGCTCTGTAATAGGCTTTAGACTGTTTGAACTCGGTTTGAATTAAGTTACTAAACAGGTTTTTTTTTAATATAATTCCTGGTTAATGAAAATTAACAAAGTCACCAAAAATTTTTAAAGTCATTTTTATCTTTAACAATCATGGATAGTTCTGCAAAATACCGCAAATAACATTTCTTGTTGGAAGATGGTAAAACATTTTAATACTCACTGAATTAAGGCAATATGACGTGAACTTTTTATTAATTTATCATATGACGAGTATATTACATTATACAATAAAAAATTATAGATCTTACATCATGATCATTATTTTATTTGTAACTTCGTTTCTTTTTTTCTTAATTCCCGATTTTCTATTCTTTTATTACTCAGTTTTATTAATTTCGTAGTTTTAATTAATTAGAATGTAGAGCGCCGACGTTGAGGCAACACAACACTGATCAATTATATATTATTAAATAAATATAGTGTCAACATTGCTTTTAAAATATTTATAAAAATACGATCTGGTTACAATACTATTATTTCATAAAATTTATCGTTACACCACTACACGTTAAATACAGTGACTTCCATAATTATTGTACCACTTCGTTTGTAATTTTTAGATTGTAATAAATAAAAATTCGATGATCGA